GCTTTCCGCAGTCGTTGACCACCTTGAATGGCCAGTGTTTCATGTCATCTTGAATCTTCGGATCATCGAACTTGCGTCCAATCAAACGTTTCGCATCGAAGACACTGTTCTGCGGATTCATGGCCACCTGGTTCTTGGCCGCGTCTCCAATCAACCGTTCCGAGTCGGTAAATGCCACATAGCTGGGCGTGGTGCGATTGCCCTGGTCGTTGGCTATTATCTCCACCTTGCCGTGCTGAAAGACACCCACGCACGAGTACGTGGTGCCCAAGTCAATACCAATGGCCGGCATCTTGGTTGTTTCTTTCTCTTCTTGGTTTACCAACTGTTGTTTTACTTGGATGTTGTTGCTTAAAGCACAAAGTGTACTTCTATTCGACCGTTTAACTTTTACTTTTACTTTTTATTTAATTTTTGCTAACTGTTTTGAATGTATTCTAATATGATAACCTTTTGAATATGGGTTAGCTTGTTTAGCTTCTCTTTGGTTCGCTTGCTGTGTTTCCACTACGATTGCTTGTTATAAATTGTGACGAGTCGGAAATTTGCTCTGCTATTTATACTCTGACGCTGTGTGGTGAAATATTCGAGATTCCCCTCAAAAGAAGAGTGCAGAAGGTTCGAGACGATTCGAGAGACTGCCAGAGCGATACTTGTCTGTATGTTCAGCGCAGCCAAGTAAGCCTTTTTCGAGCTAGCAATAAACTGTAGAGGATTCATAAATACATACACATATATCATATCACTTTTATATCCTCCGTTGAAAAAAAATAAATATAACATATTTTTGAAACTGAAATCATGAAAAATAGCCGAACAAAAAATATAGTTCGCGTGCAACTGCAAAACGAATCGTTCATGATCGACTGAATAACTGAACTAAACGAATAGTTCATGACCTAACAGCTGAGCAGAAGGTATCGTTCATGACCGGCTGAATAACTGAACGAGTGAACTAAATGACTATTTAGTTAATGGCCAGAAAAGGAACGAGTGAACTTATCCAGCAAATTGAACTAAAGATGGCTCGCCAGTGGCATGCCATTTTTGTTTTAATTTATCCGATATGGTAAAAAAAAGAAGTTTGGCAACTCCCTATCAGAGAAAACTGCCCTATCAGAGAAAACTGTGCGGCAACCTTACCAGTGTCATTTAAAAAATTAAACTAATAGAAATTTAAATATCGGAGAGTGTAATCTCGCGATGCAGCTCTCCGACGGAAAATCCCGAAAGAAAACTCATTTTCACTTTTTATTTTTAGTGCTAAAATATAAAATTCACTTGTTCCGTAAAAACGAAAATGAGACATGAACTAAAATCCGCTAAAATATTTGCCAACCATGGATAGCATGGGGAAAGATTAATTGACAATTTTTCTTGAAATAGAGCGGCTGCGCAACTGGAAGTAGGGACACCCCAATTGCTCAAGGGGGGATGACAGAGCTCATTTTAGAAACGTTTAAGGATTATTGTAATAAATAAATAATATAATTTAATTTGACATCAGAAAAAGTCGAATGTCTTTGTTTTAATACGCACTGCTAGTCGAATTTCAAGCAAATAATTGGCAAAAGGCAGTTGCTGCGCATTATATATTGGAAGTCGTGAGTGTTAAAAGCAGTCGTTCTCCTTCATTCATACATATACGCATATAAAATACACTGTTTGCCTCGCTCGCACAATCTCGCCACACAGCGTCAGAGTATAAATAGCAGAGCAAATTTCCGACTCGCCACAATTCATAGCAAGCAGTCGTAGTGGAAATACAGCAAGCGAACAAAAGGGTATCATATTAGAATACATCCAAAACAGTTAGCAAAAATTAAATAAAAAGTAAAAGTAAAAGTTAAACGGTCGAATAGAAGTACACTTCGTGCTTTAAGCAACAACATCCAAGTAAAGCAACAGTGGTAAACCGAGAAGAGAAAGAAACAACCGAGATGCCAGCCATTGGTATTGACTTGGGCACCACGTACTCGTGCGTGGGTGTCTTTCAGCACGGCAAGGTGGAGATAATAGCCAACGAACAGGGCAATCGCACCACGCCCAGCTATGTGGCATTTACCGACTCGGAACGGTTGATTGGAGACGCGGCCAAGAATCAGGTGGCCATGAATCCGCAGAACAGTGTCTTCAATGCGAAACGTTTGATTGGACGCAAATTCGATGATCCGAAGATTAAAGATGACATGAAACACTGGCCATTCAAAGTGGTCAACGATTGCGGAAAGCCAAAGATGAGCGTCAAATTCAAGGGCGAGGAGAAGCGCTTTGCCCCAGAGGAGATTAGTTCGATGGTGCTTGTAAAAATGAAGGAGACAGCCGAAGCATACTTGGGCACCACCATCAGAGACGCCGTTATCACGGTGCCTGCCTACTTCAATGATTCGCAGCGTCAGGCGACCAAGGACGCCGGTGCCATCGCCGGGTTGAACGTGCTGCGCATCATCAACGAGCCCACTGCAGCGGCATTGGCCTATGGCCTGGATAAGAATCTTAAGGGTGAACGCAATGTTCTAATATTCGACTTGGGCGGCGGCACCTTCGATGTCTCGATTCTGACCATCGTCGAGGGCTCCCTGTTCGAGGTGCGGTCGACTGCTGGAGATACACATCTTGGAGGCGAGGACTTCGACAACAGGCTAGTCAAATACTTCGCCGACGAGTTTAAGCGCAAGTTTAAGAAGAATCTGCGCTCCAATCCACGAGCGCTGCGTCGCCTGCGGACTGCAGCCGAGAGAGCTAAGCGCACCTTGTCCTCAAGCAGCGAAACCTCGATTGAGATCGATGCCCTGTTCGAGGGAAACGACTTCTACACAAAGATTAGTCGGGCGCGCTTCGAGGAGCTGTGCGGCGACTTGTTCCGGAGCACACTACAGCCGGTGGAGAAGGCTCTAAACGACGCCAAAATGGACAAAAGCCAGATTAACGACATTGTCCTGGTTGGCGGCTCCACACGCATTCCAAAAGTGCAGAGTCTGCTACAGAACTTCTTCTCCGGTAAGAGCCTCAACGTGTCCATCAATCCGGACGAGGCCGTGGCCTATGGTGCCGCCATACAAGCTGCCATACTTAGTGGAGACGAAAGCAGCCAAATCAAGGACGTGCTGCTGGTCGACGTGGCACCTCTCTCATTGGGCATTGAAACAGCTGGCGGAGTGATGAATAAGCTGATTGAGCGGAACAGCCGTATTCCCTGCAAGCAGTCAAAGACCTTCACAACATACGCGGACAACCAGTCCGCTGTGACTGTCCAGGTGTTTGAGGGCGAGCGCGCCATGACCAAAGACAACAACGTGCTGGGCACTTTCGACTTGACCGGCATACCGCCAGCGCCGCGCTGTGTTCCAAATGTGGATGTTACTTTTGACTTGGATGCCAATGGCATTCTGAATGTGACTGCCAAGGAGCTGGGTACCGGCAATGCCAAGAACATAACCATCAAGAACGACAAGGGTCGTCTTTCACAAGCCGAGATTGATCGCATGGTTAACGAGGCCGAGCACTACGCCGAAGAGGACGAGAAGCATCGCCAGAGAATCGCCGCCCGCAACCAGTTGGAGAGCTACATCTTTGGCGTGAACGAGGCTGCTGAGAATGCTGGCGACAAGATCACCCAGTCGGACCGCAGCCGTATCAGGAACAAGTGCATTGAAGGCATAAAATGGCTCGATGCCAATACTACAGCGGAGAAGGAGGAGTTTGAATACAAGCTGAAGAAGTTCACTAAATTCTGTAGCCCAGTCATGACTAAGCTGCATCAGCAGGGCGCTGGAGCGGGCGACGGACCTCAAGCCTCGTACTGTGGCCAGCAAGCAGGAGGCTATAGCGGTGGCAGCTACAATGGACCCACTGTCGAGGAGGTCGACTAAAATAAAGGCACATCCAAAAGAGATTTAAGTTTAATCAGTATTATTTGTGATAATTTAATTAGTTCTCAACCAAAAATCTATGTTAATATAAATATAATTTATTTATGATTGTTACTTATATAATGAAATTAAAATATATATTAAATGAAAACAAATTTGTTATAACAAAATAAATCAGCAATGGTTAGTTTATTTTATTGAATAGAGAGGATGCAGATTCATTTTATATCTCCTTGCAGCAAATCTGTGCAGTTGCCATCGTAAAAGCAGACATTTCTATAGCCCAAGGCGACGGCTTGAACGGCTGAAAGCCTTGCAGCATTTGCTGTGGCACATGAAATGAAAAGTTCGGCGTTTTCATGTGGTTTGTCGCGACCAAATTGGAGTTTAAATTCAGTTTCGCTTGTAGCTGGACCTAGTGCTTTGGCCAAGAGGTCCGCTGGAATGTTGAGGCTGCCGGGGAGTTTGCCAGTGTGTTCTATATCGACGTGAGATCTAACATCGATGTGAAACTTGCTCAAGATATTCTTAATGTCAATAATTGGCGCTTTATTGGAACAGGCGTAGTATGCTAAAGAAACGCCTTTAATACCAATATTTAAAGGAATTTTTCGTTTGATTAATGCCAACATTTTTGTCTAAATTCGATATAATTTGATGGCAGTCGACAAGTCGAGTCCTTACAAAATTTGAACGGAATTTGAGTGTGGCCAGAAAACTATGAAAGGTGTAACATTTTTATCGAAAATAAATCGGTGCTGTATTGTTGTAGAATGCTTTATAATTGAGAAATTATTTTAAAATCTTACAGTACCTAAAATGTTATTGTAGTATTGCTAGTTTTGGTATTTTTTGCGCATGCTTTGTTCATTTGAATACATATTGTATAATTTCTGGGATATAAATATTTGGTTAATATAAAGCTTGGCCGGATCAACGTAATTTTTAATATAATAACAACGAAAAAATTTTAAATTTAAATAAATTTTGTTATGGAAAAAAAAAATGTTAATGGGCGGAGCATCGCTCTTGCTCAAGCCCATAGTTTTCGATAAGTTGAGTTGTCTGTTCGATTGTTGTTTTATCCAGTTTGTATTTTGCAACACTGTAAACAAACCGCAGTGAATGGCAATCTGAAAAAGAAGCTTCTTGGCGCAAGAGCATCTTGGGAAAACTATTAAATATTGTTTTTATTGTGGTACTTACATCTGTGAACCCGAACCATGGCTGAAGATGATGAAGAAATCGGGCCCAAAGTGCCGACATCAGCTGCTCGCAAGCCAGAAGAAGATACTGCGTTCCTTCAATTCATTGAAATGGAAAATTTTAAGTCCTACCGTGGCCACATTGTTGTGGGTCCTTTAAAGCAATTTAATGCTGTTATAGGACCCAATGGTTCTGGCAAATCAAACTTCATGGACGCCATTAGTTTCGTAATGGGTGAAAAAACCTCAAGCCTGCGTGTCAAGCGCCTGAATGATCTAATACACGGCTCATCCATTGGCAAGCCAGTGGCGCGCAGCTGCTACGTGACGGCTAAGTTTATTTTGGATGGCGAGAAGCACATGGATTTTCAACGCGCCGTAATAAGCGGCTCCTCGGAGTATCGAATTAATGGCGAAGTATGCGGTGCACACATTTGTTGTTCACAAAAAGTTGATTATTTTTATGCACATTCTAGAGCGTCTCAAGCAACACATACCTGAACAAGCTGGAGAAACTGGGCATCAATGTGAAGGCAAAGAACTTTTTGGTGTTCCAAGGAGCAGTGGAAAACATTGCCATGAAGACGCCTAAGGAACGAACTGCGCTTTTTGAAGAAATAAGCGGGTAAGGCGGAAATCAACTAAATAATATATTTCATTAATTGTTTCACAATTATGGCCAGTTCGGGTCTGCTGAAGGATGACTACAATCGGCTTAAGCAGGAAATGATTGTCGCTGAAGAGGAAACACAGTTTACGTACCAGAAGAAAAAGGGAATTGCTGCCGAGCGAAAGGAAGCTAAGCATGAAAAAATGGAGGCCGAACGCTACACACGCTTACAAGACGAATATGTATGCTCTATATTCAGATGTCTGAGAATTTGATTGTCAAGAATCCGTGCTTTGCTTTAATTTTAGAACGAGAAACAAGTGGAGTATCAGCTGTTCCGTCTATTCCACGTTGAGAAGGATATACAGAAGTACAATGCAGACTTAGAGGTGAAGCAGCAGGAGTTGAAAGCTGTTGAGCAACGCAAAGAGGCTGCCGACGAGGTACTCCGCGAAAAGAAAAAAGATGCTGGAAAAATAACGCGTGACTTGGCCAAAATAGATCAGGAGATACGTGAATTCGAGACGCAGCTAAATAAACGGCGTCCCTTATACATAAAAGCCAAGGAAAAGGTGACGCATTGTAAGAAGAAGCTGGTGTCCCTGCAAAAGACACTGGAAACAGCGCGCGAGGCGGACAATGCCCATCAGCAGGACATACAAAAACTGGAAAAGCAACTGAGTGATGTGGAGGCATTGAAAAAGCGTTTTGAAGACGAAATCGAAAACGAGTCGCAACGTCGTGGCAAAAGCGTCAATATGGAGGAAGGACTCGTGCAGGAATACGATCGGCTGAAACAGGAGGCCGAAGCAACTGCCACACAGTATCGCTCCGAGTTGGACTCGGTGAATCGTGAGCAAAAATCTGAACAGGATACGCTTGATGGTGAAACAAATCGCAGGGCGTCTGTTGAGGAGTCGTACAAGAAGCTCTCACTGCAGCGTGAAGAGGCTGTTAAGCGCCGCGATAAACTTATGGACCATATTAAATCCTCTCAAGCAGCGCTCGAAGAGCAGAATCGCATAAAGGACGAGCTGCGACGTGATGTGGGCAGCTCAAAGGAGAAAATTGCTGAAAAACAACGTGAGCTGGAGAATGTTCGCGATCAGTTGGGCGATGCCAAGAGTGACAAGCACGAGGATGCCCGTCGCAAGAAAAAACAAGAGGTAGTCGAACTATTCAAAAAACAAGTGCCCGGCGTTTACGATCGCATGATCAACATGTGCCAGCCTACGCACAAGCGCTACAACGTGGCTGTCACCAAGGTACTGGGCAAGTTTATGGAAGCCATCATCGTGGACACAGAGAAAACAGCGCGACATTGCATTCAGGTGGCCTATAAGCTGGAATCTTTGTTTTCTATGCCTTACCCTTTCTATGTCTCTTGCAGATCTTGAAAGAGCAAATGTTAGAGGTGGAGACCTTTTTGCCGCTGGACTACTTGCAGGTTAAACCACTAAAGGAACGCCTGCGCAACATCAGTGAGCCGCGCAATGTGCGCCTGGTGTTCGATGTGCTCAAATTCGAGCCACAGGAGATCGAGCGTGCTGTGCTCTTTGCCACTGGCAATGCGCTGGTCTGCGAAACGCCGGAGGATGCCATGAAGGTAGCCTACGAAATAGACAGATCGCGATTCGATGCCCTTGCGCTGGATGGCACATTCTATCAAAAGTCCGGCCTCATCTCTGGTGGCAGTCATGATTTGGCACGCAAGGCCAAACGCTGGGATGAAAAGCACATGGCTCAGCTCAAGATGCAAAAGGAGCGCCTCAACGAAGAGTTGAAGGAGCTGGTCAAAAAGTCGCGCAAGCAAAGTGAGTTGGCAACTGTTGAGTCTCAGATTAAGGGCCTTGAGAATCGCCTGAAATACAGCATGGTGGACTTGGAGTCGTCGAAAAAGTCCATTAGCCAATACGATAACCAGTTAAAGCAAGTGCAAACCCAGCTGGATGACTTCGGGGTAGGTGCATTACAAATCTAACCAAATCAATTCCAAATGTGAACAGTTTTTAACCTGCCGTTTCATTTTATTCGCAGCCCAAGATCACCGAAATTGAGCGTCGCATGCAAGATCGAGAGGAGCACATACAAGAGATCAAAGAGAACATGAATAATGTGGAGGACAAGGTGTTTGCCGCCTTCTGTCGTCGACTAGGCGTGAAGAACATTCGACAGTATGAGGAGCGCGAGCTTGTCATGCAACAGGAAAGGGCGCGCAAACGTGCCGAATTCGAGCAACAAATCGATGCAATTAACACCCAGCTGGACTTTGAGAAGCAAAAGGACACACGAAGTTGGTTAACTACAGTCTAAAGTGCCTAATTACATTTTAATTGCTTTGTTACGTTTTATAGAGAACGTTGAGCGATGGGAGCGCAGCGTACAGGATGAGGAAGATGCCTTGGAAGGCCTTAAAGCCGCTGAGGCGCGGTATTTGAAAGAAATGGATGAGGAGAAGGAGAAAATGGAGAAATTCAAGCAGGAAAAGCAAGCCAAGAAACAGGCAGTCGATGACATGGAAGAGGACATATCTAAAGCACGTCGAGATGTTGCCAACTTGGCTAAAGAAATTCACAATGTGGGTAGCCAAATGTCTTCATGCGAGTCCAAAATCGAGGCCAAGAAAAACGAGAGACAAAACATATTGCTACAGGCTAAAGTATGTATGGAAAAGCAAATTCCAATTTATATTAACAGTGTTTCCTACTCCAAAGACTGATTGTATTGTGGTGCCCTTACTGCGCGGCTCGCTGGACGATGCAGTGCGGCAAAGTGATGTGGATAGTGTGGAGCCATCAACGTCAACGGTGCAGGATAATCTGTGAGTATGCCAAATCGTGCAGACCCAAAGTTTTAACCATCTAATGACATTTGAATGCACTCTAGCATCGAGGTCGACTATCGATCATTGCCACGCGAGCTGTGCAAACTGAAGGACGACTCCGCCTTCAAGAAAACCAATGAACAGCTGCTGAAAGATCTGCAAAGCAAACTGGATGTATTGGAACGAATACAGACGCCGAATATGAAAGCAATGCAAAAACTGGATCTGGTTACGGAGAAAGTGCAGTCCACCAATGAAGAGTTCGAGAATGCCAGGCGAAAGGCCAAAAAGGCAAAGGCGGCATTCGAAAAGGTGAAGAACGAGCGCTCATCACGATTCGTGCAATGCTGTCAGCATATATCCGATGCCATCGACGGCATTTACAAAAAACTGGCGCGCAATGAGGCCGCCCAGGCGTACATTGGACCCGACAATCCCGAGGAACCCTATCTAGATGGCATCAATTACAATTGCGTGGCACCCGGCAAACGTTTCCAGCCCATGAGCAATTTGAGTGGCGGCGAAAAGACAATTGCTGCTCTGGCACTGCTCTTCTCCACGCACAGGTAAGTCGGCGTCTATAAAGGTATACGAAAAGGCGAAACAAAAATAACTGACCTTTATTATTTACTTTTGAAGCTATCATCCCGCGCCGTTTTTCGTACTTGACGAGATAGATGCCGCTTTGGATAACACAAACATTGGCAAGGTCGCTTCGTATATTCGGGATCACACGACCAACTTGCAGACAATTGTCATATCCCTAAAGGAGGAGTTCTATGGCCATGCTGATGCGCTGGTCGGCATCACGCCAGCGGTATGCAATCTATTTTCCTGTTTCGCCAAAAACTTTAAATACAAAACTTTTATTTTACAGGAAGGCGATTGTCTCATATCCAATGTCTACATAATTGATTTGACCAGCTACGAGGACAAATGAAGAGGAGTCGACTTTTAACGGGGCTTAGATTAAGTTTTTATTTATAACCGAACCCAGCAGACAAGAACTACAATTTCCATTTAATAAACCCATTTTTAATTTCATGACTTGACGATTTAAGAACGTATTGAACAAACTACATTTTGAAGTTCTGTTCAAATTCATTTGCTTGATTTTGTAGGTGAAGTTTCGAGTTCAAATTCATTTCCAAGGAGTTATGTGAAAAGTCGTTTATACTTATCGAAAATTTAAAGCCTTTTGGAAATTCCCGCAACTTCGGTCAATTGAATAAAAGTTTTTGTTCATCGTCCGATCGGTTTAAAACTCATTCTCAAAGATATTTGAAAGAAATTATTTTACACGTGCGTGGGCAAGGCCGGGGTATACCCGGTACTATCCTATAAGGACATAGGCCAAAATTTCCCACGCCCATAACTCGGTCAAAACTCAACCGATTTTCATGAGGTTTGGGTATTTGTTCATGGTTTGGCCTCTAGATCAATTTGGCATCTAAATCTGGCAACATTATTCTTGGTCAAGATTCATGTGAAATTGGTACCTCGAATATCCTATATCCTATACTCAAATATCCTATATAGACATAGGTCGAATTTACCCATTCTCATAACTCGGTCAAATCTCATCAGATTTTAACGAGGTTTGGGTCTTTGTTCACGGTTTAACCTGTAGACCAATTTGACATCTAAATCTGGCAATATTATTTTTGGTCAAAATTCATGTGAAAATGGTACCCTCAAATATCCCATATAGACATAGGTCGAAATTCCCCATTATCACTAGGTACTAGGTACCCCTTTAAAATGATATAGACAGATGGGCACGATTAGATCCACTTGACGAACGAAAAAAATTAAAAATAAAGATAAAGATCGCGATGTGATTCCACTTAAGGATAGATAGGAGAAGGTGCAATAATGAAAATAAGCATAAAGTGCAACTATTTAACACTCCTGAACTCTCTGGATAGAGTACATAATGATAGTCCCATTCTTCGTCCAGTCCATATAGACTAAAAACAGAAAAAGAATATAACTATATAATAATATAATCTATCTATATCTATCTATATAACATATAATCTATCTCATGGACATCAATGGATTCCCATTTTGAATGACATTTAGATTAATATTTAAGATTAAGTTTTTTTGAAGATGCCAACCTTATTTTAGTGAATTTTCATGATGTGCTTTAATTTGATTTAGAAAATGCATTTTATTTTGAAAATAATTTTCTGCAACTTTAATAGTTTCCTTTATTAGACTTCTGTCGGTTGGTTGTACTGTTTTTTGATTGTGAAGAGAAATTGTCTGAATGAACGCTGATAATGGGCGTGTGTGTGTGTGTGTGTGTGTGTGTGAGTGCGTGTGTGTGTGTGCGATCGGGTGTGTGTGTGTGTATGTGCCATACATACTGGGCAGGTATAAACATATACATATATGTAAAACAACTAGGTTATTTTTTTATTTTTTTTTTTGTTTCAATATTTACTTTTTCGGTTTTTTTTCTCTCTTTTCTTCATGTAAAAAACTTGTATTTCTCGATGAACAAAAACAAACAATTTGATTATTCGGTTTTCATATAAATTTAAAATAATCATTTCAAACAGATAAATATAGTAATCCCTAGCTGGTGCTGTCTATATCTTTGTCTTCTTCTTCTTCTTCTTCTCCATCATTTGGACGAGCTGTAATTATTCGAACTAGCACAAATTGTGAGGGGAGGAGGAGGAGGAGGACGAGGGGGGGGGGCGGGCGCGGGTCAAAGTTAAATCTATATTACATAGCATAGAAAATATTATTAGATAACTATTTTGCCAATATGATTGCTTTAGACGTTTGTTAAATGTTCAGCTTATAATTTGAAATTACGATATCGATTTCGATTAAATTGGGAATGGCTAATGTAAACTTTATACATACAAACTAAAATATTTATGGCGTTTCATATATACAACACTCTCTGGGCTTTGTAAAATTGATGAAAATACAAAGATTTGTATTATTAGCGCTTAAATATTAAGACTGTCTTGCTATTTTGTTTGGGTTTTTGCGGGGGGGTTTGCGTGGAAAATGGGATTAGTCTTTACGGTACTTCATATCGTATCTCCATCATCATCAACATCATTATCATTGCTATAATTATCATCAGGGGGCGGTTGTCCTTGTTTTGTGCTCGTTGTTGCTGTTTTTGCTTGTGTTGCGGTTATTGCTGTTCACGTTGCGGTTATTGCTGTTGTTGTTGCGGTTATTGTTGTTGCTATTGTTGCTATTGTTGCTGTTGTGTGTTGTTGTTGTTGTTGTTGTTGTTGCTCCATTTGCTAGTGACTAAATCATCTGTTTGTTTTCTTATTGTTTTTGTTTTGTGTTTGTAGTTATTCACTGAATTTCAGCTTTTCAATGCGCCTTTATTACTGCAAAATAGAAGAAGAAGAAGAATATTGCATTAACGATTAGCTTTACAAATTAATCAAGTTGCACCCAATCGTCATAATCGCCATCATCATCATCATCATCAACATTGCCAGGCTCTGATATTTCGCGTATTTCTATTTGGCAATTGATTATTTAGTATACGATATCGTCTGTGGGGCATGCATAGACGGATGTTACTCGATATACGATATACGATATACGATATTCGTGATATTCACGGCCATCTGGCTGGATACCAACTGGATATACCTACATTGAAACGTATTTAAGGCTATCACAGTGTATCTTATACTCCATTGCAGTTGTTAGAGGTATATTTAATATCCTGCGTAACGTATCACGGATACGTGTTGTACTGGTCATATCAGTGGCAGTCCGATTCCATACTGATAAGCTATCCTCCTGCGGAAATGTAAGCGAAAATGTTAATGTTAATGTTAATGGAACTGTTAAGTGTGTCATTTTTAAGATTTAAGCCTGAAAGCCTGAAAGCAATATTTGTGCGCGCCTTGGAAAATGAAAAACGTACGTTTTTTTGTTTTTGTTAAATAATTTTTATTTTTTAATCAATGTAATTAAATCAATTTGATGTCTGATCAATCGAAAATGATGACGAAATAACACAACAATTTTTTTGATTCTAACACAAAAGGCGAAACAATTATCATAATTTAAAATTGTTCATTTGCTGATTTTTGTTTCGTTCGTTTTTTGTTTGTTGTTTGTTTGTTTTTTATTTAATTTTTGTTCGGTTATCGCACGTGAAATTTGTTGACTCGCTTTTCTCGTTTTTCTCTCCTTTTTTCATTATTTTTATTTTCGTTTTTTTTTTTTTGTTTTTTTTTTTGTTTTAATATAATTATGTATGTATATAAGACTAACACTTAATTGTAATGTTTATTTGTTACTTTCAATAATTAACTAAATTTTCTAAAGAGGGAAAAATATAGATGCAAGTATGTTTTTTTTGTTTTTTTAATATGAAGTTTTACACGGCTCAACTGACTTTTTCTTTTATCCTTTTTATATATATTTGTTGTTGTTGTTGTTGTTGTTGGTGTATTATGTATTTTAGTTTTTAAACATTTTTAACAATTATCGAGTATTTGAACCGTTTTTTTTTTTTTTTGGTTTTTTATTTATTCTTTTGTTATATAATAATTTATAATAAGTAAGTACAGTTTGAAGTTTCTTTTTAAGTTTTGATTTAATGTGATAAGTGTGTGTGTGTGTGAGTGTGTGTGTGTGTGTGTGTTAGTTAATTTAAATTGTTTAATTTGTTGTGTTTTTGTCGCCAACTAGATGATTTTCTTTCGCTTTTTATTTGAGTTTTTAGGCTTCTCAGATTTATATTTGCATATGTACTATGTTAAATGTTAAATGTTATATGTTAAATGTTAAATGTTATTTGTATGTTATGTGTGTATGTCTCTATATTTATTATATATATATATGTATGTATGTATATATCTGGAGGCGTGTGTAGGCTTTAATTTTGCGAATTGTTTTAAACGCTTTCCAATTGCACATTGATATTTAAATATTTTGTAAATATTAAATACATTTGAGTAGCAATTTCTCGCAATGCTCGACTCGGTAATTCATTTATTTGGACTAAATATATGTATATTTATGTATATATATATATATATATATATATAGGATGTATATATATTTGTTTTTCTTCTGTATATATGTATATGTTAGTTTAATTAAAATATATATATATAAACATTCATTTATGCTCATGTTAATTGTTTTCTTTTATCTTTTTACTGTGTTCCACTTGTTAATCATGTTTCTCAGTATTATTGCTTTTTGAATATACATACTCATGCATACATGACTCCCCCCCCCCCCCCTCTCGCTCTCTCTCTCTCGCTCTCTCTTTCACTTCTCATTTTCGTTTATTTTATTTATTTAATTATATTGTGTGTGTGTGTGTGTGTGTGTGTCCGTTCTCTGTGGGCGCGGCTGGCGCAATTCTCTGCCATCTGCCGCGGGAGAAACTGTTCCTAGTTTTTTTTTTTAGTTGCTAAGTGTTCTTCCTCTTTTATTGCCGTTATTTTTTTCATTTATTTTATATGTATTTAATTTTATAAATTTCTTTTTGCCGTTTTACTGATTGCTGTCTGAGTTTTTGAAATGCTTCGATATGCCTGGAATTATTGTTGGAGTAACTGTTCCCAATGCGCATTCACATTCTACATTGGGCGAACACATCGTCATCATTATCATCCTCATTATTATCATTATCATCATCATCATACTCGAATTATCATCATGTTGCATACATACGTGCGCAGCCTAAAAGAATTCAAGTGTGCTGTGCTGTGCTGTGGCTGCAAAAAAAAACCCGTTCGCAGGCCGAGAAGTTGCAAGAAGAAGAAGTTAGCGCTAATTGCGAATCGTTTGGATCTCGGCCTGGGAACAGTTTTTTCGAATCTATTGTTTAAATGGGCACTTCTCTCTACACAATTATCGCTTGAATTTTATTCAATTTTAAAGTACACAATTTTACGAGTCTGAAACAAATTTCGTTCGTTTTTTTTTGGTTTTTTTGTTTTTTGTTTTTGGGCTTTCATGAAACTCACATTCTATGCATTTCAATACGTCATATAATTGTAATTTGTTTTTTTTTTTAATCA